CGCCCCCTGAAGCCAATTTGAAATAGAATTATGACACATATTTACAACAAGCTTGTCTGAAAAGTTATTTTAACAGTTGACATTTAAAAATAAATTTATTTATAGAATTGGAATCTAAATACCATAATGATTTGATACTCAGCATCATCTACATGAAAAAATACAGGGACAAGTTATTTTTTTGACACCTGGAAATTTTACATTGTTCCTTTTCTCTCCAAAATTCGTATTTCTACCCTCCATTTTATCCTAATGTGATATTTCTGTCTTTTTTTTTTTTTTTAGAGAGATATAGGGAGGAGGAGAAAGAGAGGGAGACAGAAGAGGGGCAGAGGGGGAACGAAAGAGACTCTTCAGCAGTTTCCATGCCCAGCGCAGAGCCTGACACAGGGCTTAATCTCATGACCTGAGCTGAAATCAAGAGTCAGATGCTTAACTGACTAAGCCACCCAGGTATTCCCCCAATGTGACACTTCTTAAAACTAAAAGCTTAAAATTAATTAACTGCTCATAATTTTCTACCACCAAAGTAAGTCTATGATTTACTTTTTTGTTCCTGGGTTGAGTAATTATGACAATTATTATTAATTATTACCCTCTTAGCTTTTTTAAAGATTTTATTTATTTATCTGAGAGAGAGAGATAGGGAGAGCACAGAGAGAGAGGGAGAGGGAGAAGCAGACTCCCACTGAGCGGGAAGCCTGATGCCGGACTCGATCCCGCGACCCTGAGATCATGACCTGAGCCGAAGGCAAATACTTAACCGACTGAGCCACCCAGGCACCCTTATTTCCCAATTGTTAAAGATGTACAAATATTTTAAGAATTTTGATAATTATTAAATATAAAAAATAATTTTAATGGAAATGTACCTCTTACTGGGATGAATGGTGCTGGATTATTCCCTTCCACTTTCCCCCTGCCAAGATAAATAGAAATTACCTATTACAAGAAAGCTAGAGTCACCATCGAGTCTATTCTTGCTTTTTGTTCTAATGGATGTAAGCTCTGAGCAGTGTTGTTCACCTAAGAACATCTGGTATAGTGAACAACCTTGTCATCAATAGGATATTGGCTTTATTTTTCTGGGGTTGTCCTTATGAATAGGTACAATACCATTCATCCTCCATTGGTTTTCTTCTTGCCCAGTGATATGCATATTTCATAGTTGTCCAAAGTCTGTCCTACGAGCACAGTCATGAACAGAGTGATTCTTTGGGTAAGGATAAGGGACTTGTATTACCACTTACCTAACTCAGTTTCACACATTTTTTTTCTGTATTCTGCATAATAAATATTTAGAAACAGATGTCCCTACCAACCAGAAGTTTTCATTAAGTCTCCTGTTGGTTAAAACTGCAAATTTATTGTGTAAATAGCCATTAGACATATCCAGGCTTAAAATATATACCATTGACGGTAAATGTTTAAAAGAGAGCTGGGGGCGCCTGGGTGGCTCAGTTGATTAAGTGTCCAACTCTTGATTTCGGCTCAGGTCATGATCTCCGGGTCCTGAGATTGAGCCCTGCATCAGGCTCTGGGCTGGGCATGCAGCCTGCTTAAGATTCTCTCTTTCTCTCCCCCTCTCTTAAAAAAAATAAAATAAAATAAAGACAGCTTTAAAAAAAAGAGCTGGACTTTGACATTCTGATGTCTCTAGTATCTATGCATACTGCAGAGCTTAAAAATATTTCTCATTTATTGCAGAAGGTCCTTCACAGAGGCATCACACTGACCCTTGTAAAGGTCCCGCTTGCTTCCATTTCATACCCCACAGTGCTGGCTATTCTGAAAACCTCCTGATTCAGTCTTGGGAATGTTTTGCTCCTCTGAAAATTCTTCTTCCCTCCCATCCCAGCAACAAATGTCCTTTGTCCCATAATAATTAAAAAAAAAATCCCTGAAAGATCCAAATTGAATAACAATAAAGATCTGATTGGAACCTTCATAAGCCTGACAATGTAGAATTGTATTTCTTAAAAAGTGTGTAACCACATTTGTCTGGACTGCAAAAGACACCACAGAATAAGATCAGAATAGAATTTCAATGGACTCCCTAATTTCCTTAGAAAGGCTTATATTTCAAGGCCTTCCTGTTTTTTTCTGATAGAGTAGGTATACATTACTAACTATAAGTGATAAGAAAGTATAAAAACAGCCCCTGCCCTAAAAGTACAATTGAAATTAGCATTGAAGTTCACATTTATAAATTAGTCATTTTAGCCTAAGTTTAATTGTAGACTACTTATTTACATTTAATCCTGATTATTATAACTCCTCTTGACTTATCCTAGTTTCCCATATTGGGCCAGGCCTGGGTCCTCGGATGAGAAACAATAAACAGTTACTAATGAAACACAAGTCACATCTGAATGGAAGGTCATATCTGAATATGCAGAGGTAAGTAGGTTGGGGCAGAGGATGTTGGGGGTGTGTTTTGTTTTGTTTTGTTTTGCTTGAACTATAGCAAAGTGCTTCCTTAGTGTGAAATGTGACTTTACTTCAAATCTTAAACTTACAAGAATTTTCAGCCTGCAAACTCAGAGATGAACTGTGTGCTGTGGAGCATGTCATTTGTCATTCAACCTCCCGTGAGATCTTGGGCGGACCGAGGTGGCTCCTGGGTGCTTTGCTCCTTGTGGCTCCTTTTAGAGCCCTTGACCCCAATTTGGAAAATGTATGTGTTCTATTTAACCCTGACCTTGGCCCACATATCCACCATGTTGAGAGTAATGCAGGTGTGAATCCTTTCTCAACACAAAATTGGTAGGAATGCTTCTCTGTTGTCTGACAGCAAAGTAATTGACACATTTAAAAGAAAGGAGGAAAAAAAGGACTAGTTGAGACTTTTATATACGTTCATTGCTTCTAACATGTTTTTTAGAACAAGAAAAATGCAACATCAACTACTCTTAGAACGAGTGAAGCCACCATACTGTACAGTTTTGGGGGGTTAGGCAGCCAGGCACATTTACCATTAAAACCAGAGAACAATACCCCACAGCAAAAGAAAACCAGCCAGAAGTTAGCCCCCATGACCTTTTTTTTTATATATATACATTTTTAGAATACTCTGCCTTTGAACAATACAAACAATAACAACAACAACAAAAAGACAAACAGGCTTTATATTAAAAATGTCTGTGTTCTTCATTGTTACTTCTAAAGCAGCTTGGAGGATTTTGCCACTTGGAGTGTACTGCGAATTGACTCCACTAAAATGATCTTGGTAGGATAGCAGCACAGGATTTGATATTCCATACTCATCGCTTTTGACAATGTAAACCTTTCATAAAATAGTATTTCGCTTTAAAAATTAGAATCATTCAAAGGTCTGATCATTCGATTCCCTGAGGCCGGCCAGGGAGGTCTGGCTTCATACCACGGGTTTCCTGCTTTCTCAGGGTGGGGCACAGGCATCACTGCATTTCAGGAAGAATCTGAAGGACAGCCAAGGAAAGGGCCCTGTGGAAGGAGGGCAGGAGTGCTCTAGACGGGTCTCTGTCAAAACAGACCACATAAAGCAGCCCTCTGAAGGTCACACCGTCATGGCCAGAATTTAATCCCCTGGTCATTTCCCATCTGGATTTTCAACTGAATGAATCTCATGGGTTTAACCAAACATGTATGTCCTCCTAAATAATGTGTTAGATCCTGATTTGCCCAGGGACTAGTAAACCTTCAAGGAACAAGGTCAAAGGGACAACAGATACATCCTTCACAATAAACAATTTTGTTGACATGGAAATGCACATAAGTTGGTTGAAGCAAAGCTCCCCAGTGGCCAACATGCTCCAGGGTTTTCGGGTCGCTGAGACCCAGGGCTTCTCTCACCTTCTCAGAAATGCTTTTAAACAGTTGAGACAAAAATCCCAAATAGAAAAATGATAATTTTTGCTAACGAAGAGTGTAGAGGCCATAACTAAATACAACTTTAAAAAAAAAATGCTGAGATGCATGTATCTTTTTTTCTTAAAGCAGCTTTCAAAATATCAACCACAGCATTAAACATTGAACATAGTACATTCCAAAGTTAATACAGATAAATGGTATATAATGCAATAATGCCACAGTTATTCCATGAATGTCTCAAAGCTGACTCCAAACTTGAAAAAAATATTTTCTAGTTTATTCGCTGGAGATTTCACTTCTTTACTACTTCTCTAGAGTTTCCACCACTGACTTTTTTTTTTTTCTTTTCTTTTTTAATGCCCCAGGATGTACAGATAATTCCCACATTCCACACCTGGAACTTTTTTTTTCCCCCCTGTCAGGTTTTCCAGAAAAAAAAAATCCCAAACTACAATGACAAGGTAATGTTTTACATCATAATTCCAGACACATAGGTCAATAAATCCATGACACCTCATTTCAACGCTTCCTTTAGGATTTCCAACTTTCCCCAAAAGTCATTTCAAGCCTCGCTTTCGACTGCGCAGCCAGCACGCATGCGCCGCGCAACCAGCACGCATGCGCCGCGGCCACATGGCGCCAAGGCTGCGCGCGTGTCCTTCCCTCGGTTTCCTCGCGGTGGCGGGACGCCACCTCCCTCTGCGGTGCCTCTGTTGCCTTCCCTCCACAGCGATCAACGTCTTAGGAGCCTTGGCTTCCAGGTTCCCCGCCCCACGAGGGAAAGGGCCTGAGCAGGGGGCCCAGGGTAACAGGCCCAGGGCCACGACTGTTCTTTCTTGACAGGGGCGTTCTGAGCTCTGTCAGCTTCCAGACATTCGGAGACCACACTGCTCTGTTGACAGCCCTCCGAGCAGGCCAGCCGGTGCCCAGGCTCCGTTGCCAGGGCCAGGCCTCCGAGCTGCGGCAAGGCAGGACTTCAGACCGTGGCCTCTTAGGGAAACGCAGGCACTTGTGGCGGCCTGATGCTTCTGGATAAGTCACCAAAACGTTCACTTCCTCGCGTTCTGGAGGATTCTGTTTCATACACACACAGAGCCAGTATCTGGGGGAGAGTGTATCCAAAATGTCTGAATATACACATCAGGGCTTTAAGGTACTGGATGCTATTGGATAAATTGCTAGAATGCTTCTCGGCACAATTGGTAGCTTAAAAAAATACTTTCCTATGGTTTCACGGCATTTTCCCCATCACTGTCCTTCGGTGTGGAAGTCTTGGTGCATACCAAGTCCATCTGAAGTTCCCCAGGTTTGGTTTTTTCTTTTTTCTTCCAACCGGGTATGTACCATGTGAGCCAAATGCTAAGTGTCTGCTCTTCAGGCCAGGGAAGAATGGACTTCCCACCCAGCACCTTCCCTCTCTTCATATCGCAGCCCCCAGAGCAAAAAAAAAAAAAAAAAAAAAAAAAAAAGGCAAGGAAAATGAACACCTTCTTCCTAACCTCCAGCAGCCAGACACCCGGCTTCTGGAACAGTCCAGTCCTTAGTCAGTTTGTTTGCTCTTCAGATGGTGAGTCAGTCCAGCCAACAACATGGAAAACAAATCCGTGTTTATAGGCACAGGAGATCCAGGTGGAGCTGCACAGGTAGGCTTGGCAATTAGTGGCAGGGTTTCCAAAGACAGGAGGTTCGATGGGACTTAAATAAATAAATCTTCTTTTTTTTTTTCTTGATAATGTAAAAAATAAATGGTATTTCCCTTTGGCAGTAAATAGCTGATTCGACACTGAGCCCAAAAGCTGTTTTTGTTTCGTTTTATGTTTTGTGTTTAAGAGACCACAGCTTCATTTCATGGTACATCATCACTGGCAATGCATATATTTCTACTGCTTTAGTGAACCTTTTGCATATTTGTTTGTGGCAGGCCTACTGACTTCATTTGTGGCCCAGGTAGGCACCCAGGGTGATGCAAGCTCCCACCAGGGCCAGACTGAGAAGGGCCTTCAGAGACAGCCAGGAGAAGTCAAACAGAGGCTGCATGCTGGGGCCGTACAGCTCCACAAAGGCATCCTGCGGGGGACGGGAGAGGGGGAGAAAAAGAAAGAATTAGAGAGAGAGCACAGCATGCCAGCCTACAGGGAGGGTAGTATCCAGCCCAAGGACCCGGGCGCCTTCTGCCCAGTATGGGGAAAAGTAAAACGCTCTTCGGGGGCAGTGATTTGGACCTACATTTTTTTTTTTTTTTTTGTAACTCTCATTCAAGAAGTATTTGTCGAGATCCTATTGATGGGCCAGGTACCACAGAGACAAACACAGCAATGAGGGAAGTAGACTAAAAGTTCCTACTTCACTGGGCTTTTATCTGGTTGCAGGCCATAGATGGTAAAATAAATGTACCATAGAATGTGCAAGAGAGTGCTAAGTGCTAAGGAGAAAAATAAAACAGCAAAGGCAGCTAGAAACTACTGGAGGCTAGGCTTTGCAATTTTAGCTAGCATGGCCATTCCTAAAAATAATAAGAAACAGTAGGTACAAGTAAGCTCCTTTATGGAATGCTTGCTATATGCCAGGCACTTGTAATAAATGCCTCAAGTGCATTATTTTATTTACTCTTCATACCAATATTATGGAGTCATTTTATTTGCTTCTGTTCTGTAAAGGGGGAAAAAAAAACCTGGGGGGGGGAACAGAGGTTAAGGGATTTGTCTAATCAATGGCACCGCCAGGATTCGAACCCAGCTCCAAACCAGTGTTCTTCAGTCGCTGATGCCCTCCCACGGCTCACACCAGCTCCGTGAGTGCTTGGGCGGCCCAGGATGCTGGTATGGTCCATACAAGCAAGGTGGCCTCCCCTGGTGGCATGCCTAGCCTCTGAAAGTCAACAACAGGGTTCTCCCTGGGTAAAAAAGTTGTCTCAGGGTCTCTTCCGGGAGTGGCCAGGCTGGATGACCACAATCCTGCATTTAACTCAAGTTGTGAACTTCACAAAGCATGTGGTCACTTATGGTCAGTGACGCGTCACTGGACACACAGGGACCCGAGGAAGGAAGACGGCTCCTCTCATCCTTTCCTATTGCTGCCTCGAAGTCAGGTCTGCGGGGTTACAATGGGAGTCATGGCCAAGTTCTTCGGATTGTTTTGGACTGGATTGAATTGGACTGGACTGATTGCTCATTTCTTAGATTTGTTGGGGGACATGTGTTGGATCCAGTGAGTAGTTGGACAACTCTCTAAGTATATCTGAATATATAAACCAGTAAATGAAATTCTTTTTGCTTGGTATGATTTATTCAGACATGAAGAGAACAAGACATATGTCCACATCCCAACAACGTGGCATCAGAGCCCATGAGACAGTAACACACCCACACTTGTAGCACTGATGTGTGGAGGTGGTTCTGACAATGGTCAGTGTTTTTTTCTGTTTAAGGCAAGTGCTGCACGGAGGGACCAGGGATCAGCTTTGTCTCTCCCGTGCTGTTCGTGGTTTTGGTACACGTAGGCGCTTAATAAGTGCCTGTTCAGTTGGCGCTTAAAGGTTTCTGAATTCAGTCATTGGTTTGAATTTTGTCTTTGGTCTAATGCTTCACCAGATACTTACTTTGCCTGTTTGAAATGATTCCTTCTATACGTAACAACCTCTGGGAATCTGAGGAGTCGTCTTGAAGGTGAGAGTTCAAGGCATCATTAGGGGAACTTGTTATGCTCTTAAATACAGATCTACACAATCATTTTCATGACTGTCTAGTATTCCATTTCTTATATTCTGTCCTCGATTTACCCGAATCTTTATCTTTTTGAAACTTTTGCTGTCATAAATAATATTATGATACATTTTTGTGCATGAATTCCTGTCCACTTGCTAAGTTGCTTTTTGGGGACAAATTCCTAGAAATGAACCCAGCTGATCAGTCATCAAAACTGCTCCTGACTGTCACAAAAGGTTTGTGATGAGGTATTCTCACTCCCTCACTGGTTGCCCTTGAGCGGTGACACTTTGTACAAAAGTCAGACAAGGGTTTAGGGCAGTGGTTCTCACTGGGGGTGATCTTGGCCCCAGGGGACATCTGGCAATGTCTGGAAACATTTTTGGTAGGGGTACTGCTGGTTGTAATGGGTAGAGGGCAGGGACGCCGTTCAGTATTCCACAACGCACAGGACAGTCCCCAGCCCAAAGTGCCAAAAGAGCTGAGGCTGAGAAACCGTGTGAAGAACGGTTTAGGAGAAACTCTGATCACAGACCACAGAAGACCTAACGGTCCATCTCATGTGTCAAGGGCTTTGCTCAGATTAACACAAGATGAGTGAGTTAGCCTGGACAAGTAACTGCTCCCCAGCAAGTGGGTGCCCCGGGCTTGCAGACGCACTACACTAACCTTTACCAGGAGAGGGCGCAAGCGGTTTCTTCTTTTTTTAATCTATTGTTGACATTTTCTAAATTTGAGCCTGAGGAAAGCAAGGCAATAGACAGAAATGAAATATGTGTGTAGTGTTCTCAGCACAAAGCTGAGGTACCAATCCTGATTGCTTGTCAAGGAACACACCTTCCCTATATATAATCAGGGACAAATGGGGCAGGAAGGGGTCAGGACAGATTTATGAGCAGGAGAAACTCTGCTTCTTGTAAAGTGCATCCCAGGATCCCACAGACACAGCTGCAAACAGCTAATAGCCCACCGTTCCAGGCTGATCTCTCCAAGGGATGGGCAGGCCGGAACCTCCCACAGCAGCCTATGCCCGGAACACTTTAGGACCCAAGCCCTGTGCTGTATGCAACGTGGCTCGACACTGAGAGGGTCGATGGTCTGGTCCTGCCTTCCTTTAGTACCAATGGGGTTTTCCGTGGCAGAACGGCAAACAGACTCAGCCCCTGGCCATCTGAACTTTCTGGCCACGGAGCCATCCTGAGAAAGTGGGGGAAGCGGGACAAACTGGGGCTGGCATTTTCTCCCTGTTCGCCTGGGGCACGACACCGATACCAGGGTGCAGAAGAAATGCCTCTCCAAATATCCCTACCTCTCTGGGGCTGAACGATTCCCTCTCCCGACCACCATCCCCTCACGCAAATAACTGTGCTCCTAATGGACCTAATGGGCCATTTCTGGTGTGCACTATAAAGAAAAAACATCATTTCTAGAGTGAGATGAGCTGAAGTAGCATCTCCTGACCCAAAGAATGAGCACAGAGTTGCTGACACAGCCCCAGGGGTCTGGGGACAGCTCTCGACTTGGGGAAGGAGGTCTGGGTGAAATCCCAGTTTTTACATTTTATTCCTTCTGATCTTAAACGAATTATCCAACCCCGAACCTCATTTATTTCACCCATAAAATTGGCTGCTGTGAAGATTAACATAGGCGACTCAAAGCCCTTTGTAAACGCGGCCTCGAATGTGAACTAGTGCATGTATTAACTTTTTCCGCTGGTCTGCCCTCTTGCAAACCTGCTCCAACCCTCCTACACCTGCCCTGCCCTCCAGAGGGCCTACTTAGTTTGCTCTTTCACAGGAGCTCCCCTGAAGGAATCCGTTTTTGGTTCTGAAGATGCCTGGTCATTGCTATAGAAGTTATGAGTTAAAATGTACAAATATACATGTGACATGTTCTGGTCAAAGATGGAAATTGATAACACACTGCCCATCTCTACTTCTTCAGAAATTACTAAATCAGGTGGTAGGGCTCAGGGGTGTCATTTGACCCCCCACCCCAAGACTGAATCCGGCCCCCAGGCCTTGCCCATCCACAATTGCAAAGTGCAAAGCAGACCCTGTTGTTTCGGGACTGGAGGTCCTAAAAGCTCCTTTTATAGAGAGTCTTCTTGGTTTTTCCAACATCCTGATTAGGGCGATTTCCGAAGTCTGTTTGAACAGTCTGTCATTATTTGTTTAAGTTTGAAAGCTGTTTTAAATAAACATATGCTCATTTTATGTATTAAAAGCAACAAAGAGGGAAAAAGAAAACCTGAGCCATCATCATGTGATACGGATAAAATCCCAGTCTGTACACTTGGAGGGCACCGCAACCCTGGCTCACGTCTGGGGCGGGGGGGGGGGGGGAGCAGGAGCGCCTCCTGGTTCCCGGACGTGCGCGCCAGGTTCCCAGGTGAGTGACCTTTCTCCTTCAGCTGAGCCCCCCTCAGACAAGAGGCGGGCCGTGCCCTGGCTCTGGGTGCTCCTTCACAGATGGCTTCTCCCCCAAAGTCAGAGGCCACAGATGGTCAGAGCTGGCCCACCAGGGCGGATGGCCAGACTCCCTGACCCCAGACCCTTGCTGCAGAGTTGGAAGTAAGCCAGGGAGGTGTGGACAGGAGCAGATCATACTCAAGACTCCCAGGCAGGGGGGGATCGCAAAAGTGTCCTCAGCCTTCTTGCAGTTTGGTCATGGGACCTCTCCCACCTGATTCTCTCTCCTTCTCTCTGTCTCATACACACACACACACCTCTCCCTTGAGGCAGCTTGCTCTCCAAAATTTTCCTCTTCCCTCCAGTACCCTTCAAGAAGTTTCACTTAAACCTGATTCCAAATAAGGTGAGATTAAAAAACAAATGAGTCAGATTGGCAAAAACTGAAAAGAATACCGAGTTCCGCTGAAAAGGATGGGGTGGGGGCTAATTCTTACACAATTGATGGATCCCAGGTAAAGAGAAATTGTATTTGCATTTGGCAATGCATATCAGAAGCTTTAAGAATATTATCCTTTTGTTAGGAATTCCACTCCTAATTATTTATCTTGGAAAAATAGTAAAATGCACAGGTTTGGTTATAATACTTAAAACCTGAAGAGGACTGAAATGTCTGAAAATATGATTGGTTAGGTAAACTCATGGCACATTGATACAATGGAATGGTGTTCAGCCATTAAAAATTGTACCCTATATTTACTGGCAAGGAAAGATGTTCCTAACATAGTTCTTAGTGAACTAGGTACAGCTCAACCAGTGTCTTCCAGGTCAGGCCCCTGACTCATGGTGGTTTGCAGATCTCCTGGGAACACTGGGAAAATTTAATATGGCCTGGTTGGATATAAACAAATTAGAAATTCAGCTACGTTCCACAGTCTCTGAGCTGACTGTG